CGGGCCGCGGCCGCAGCACCCGTTCTCCTCGCGCTGCCCGGCCGCCGCCGCCATCGCCGCCCCGCCCGGCTCTCGCGAGCGCAGCGCGGGACCAGCGGCCCTTGCGCGGGGCGGGGGCGGAGCTACCCGGCAGGCTCCGCGCGATCCGGTGTCACGTGGCCCGAGCGCGTGGTGCTTTGTGAGGGTTCCGGGTCCCGGCAGGCCCCGCGCGGGCGGGCGGCGGTTGCCATGGCAGCGCGGGCTGCGGGCGGCGCGCGGCGCGATGGAGAAGTTCCAGCCCCGCTACTTCACCCCGCGGGAGGTGTCTGCGCACGCGCGGCCCGGGGACCTCTGGGTGTCCTACCTGGGCCGCGTGTATGACCTGAGCCCGCTGGTCCGGCAGCACAAGGGTCTGTACCCACAATGCTCCGCGGCGCCCCCTGAGCACCCCCCCACACTGCCTCATGGTACCACCACCCGACACCCCCACAATGCACTGCGGTGCCACAACCCCCGGCACCCCCACAATGCACTGCAGCTTGCTCCTGGACTCCCCCCACAGTCCATCGCGGCACCCCCATACGCCCCCTCACATTGCACTATGGCACTTCCCATAGACCTCCCAATTCACTGGGGCGCCCCCATAGATCCCCCCCCCACAATACTCACCCCACCCTTCATAGAGTCTCCCAAGCCCCAAAATGCACCTGGCACTCCTCCCCACCGTGCACTACAGGGGACCCCCCCATCGGGACCTCCCCAGACCCTCCTAGCCCCAGAGCCTGACCTGAACCTACCGGCCCTATAGCAGAAGGGTAATGGGAATCCTTCCATTCACTGGGGACCCCCCCCCGACCCACACACACTGGTGGGCCAGGACCCCGGTACCCCACAATGCCCTGCGGCACTCCTCCGTATTCCCCTCCACTGCACCCCAATCCACCCACGTGAACCTGGCCCCACACGGATGCATGCCTGCCACATCACCGCATACACCATCTGACCCCTGGCTCTGTCTCCCCCCAGGGGACGTCTTGCTGAGGCCCATCTTGGAAGCGGCGGGAAAGGACATTAGCCACTGGTTCAACCCCAAGACTAGAGACGTGAGAACTGGCGGAGCGTGGGATCGTTTGAAATGGGCGCAGGGTTCTCCTTCACTTTCTGTCTGAAACTGTTGTGATGTGGTTAAACAGCTGCTGGGCCCTGCCCCAGAGGTGGCTCTCTGACCTGCCGATGGGGTCCTGATCCACAGCCGTTGGGGCTTCAGGGTCTGATGCCTCTGTCCCCTTCCCCCTGCCCCCATGAACCCCACACTCGTGTTCCTGTTTGCGGCTCTTCTTGAGGGAGTGGAAGGCTGGGATCCATCATCCGCTGTCGGTGGGGACTGGGATCAGCTGGTCTGGTGGGATCCTGGGGCTGCCCCCTTCGCCCAAGCCGTGAGCCGATGTTCAGGGTTGTTCCCGTCGGATGCTGCGGGTCAGGGATTTCGGTAGTGCAAAGACCGTAGTGCAGTCCTGTTTTCTGGGATCAAACAGCAGGCAGTTTCCTTGCTCAGAAATCCCCAAGCCTGCCTCTCCAGCCAGTCCTGTGCCCCAAAGAGCTCTGCCTCGTTGCTGACTCCCTCAGCACGGCTCCCCTAGCTTTCTTCCTCACCCCTGCACAGGCACAACTGCAACCAATCCATATCCCAGTCGCAGGGAAATCTTTTGGCTCTCAGGCCTTGGGCAGTGGCTTCCCATGCAGCTCTTACTATGCAAAGGGGGTATTTAATTGCTCCTTCCATTTACGGCGCTTAGCAGGCCGATCAGCTTTAAGCAAGTTCGTGATTCTTTTCTGCCTGTAACACGTCGATTGACCTAGGAGGCAGTCGCCGGGGGTGCAGCCGAATCCCCCCCTTAACCCTGATAATGGAGCCACCTGCCTTTCAGATCCAGACCCACGTGGACCCGCTGACGGGCTGTGTCAAGTACTACACCCCCCAGGGCCGCTTCATCCACATCCCGCCCCAGCTGCCCTGCTCCGACTGGGCGAACGACTTCGGGCTGCCCTGGTGGAAGGACAGCAAGTATGAGGTGGGGATCCTGGCTTCTAAGACCCGGCGTGTCCGTATCGTCAACACCCTGACCTCGCAGGAGCATGTGTTGGAGGTGAGCTGGGCCTCACACCGAGGGGCAGGGGGCTCAAGTGGCAACACTGGGCAAACTTGCCATCCTCACGCACCATTTGGGGGGTCCTGAGTTACCAGGACATTGGGGGCGGGTGTGCTAAGTGGGGTCTCCAATCAATTTAGAGGCCACTCCTGTCCTGAAATACACATGATGATGTAGCATGCTGGTCCTTTAAGGCCGGCCATGACCCCGTTTTCCCCAGATGCAGGGGGATTCTGGGAGTTGTAGTCCCTGAGGCAGAGGGCTTGGTTGCAAGGCATGCTGGGAAGGAGGGATATAAGAAGCAGGTCAGGGTGGGACACGGAGCCGGGGGAGTTGGTGGTCTGAGCCAGCAGCCACTTTATGCAAGGCTGGTGCCGCTGGGTTAGGGAGGCTGTAAACTCCCCTGTGAGCAGCAGGGGGCGCCGGGAGCAGGGGAGGAGATGGTGCTTTCGTTGACCGGGGGGTGAGGGTGGAGGTTTGGGGGAAGAAATATTTGCTCGAGGGCCTGTCAGTCCAGCAGGCGACGGTCCCCCAAGCACCGGTAAGTCTCTAACGTTGCCCCCCCCCAGGTGTGCGCAGAGGAGTCCATGTGGGAAATCCTGCGGCGCTACCTGCCCCACAACGCCCACGCCGCCAGTTACACCTGGAAGTACGAGGGCGTCAACCTGGACATGGACAAGACGCTGGAGCAGAACAAGATCCCGGATGAGGACGCAGAGTTCTACCGGCTCAACTTGGACACCGACCTGTACACGCCGGGTATCTTGCTGTACTTCAACGACGACCTCACCGAGTTCTAGGTAACGGGGGCGGGGCCATCAGGGAACAGGGCCACTCGGGGGCGGGGCCACCTGTTTGCCCCTTTCCTTGGGGAGATTTCTACCTGAGCCGGGAAACAGCTCTCAGTTCTCCTCCTGGATTCTCCACCTGCTCGCGTCATGCAGCACCGCTGGGTGGGTCGCTCTCTCTGCTGGACTTGAATCCGGAATCTTGGCACGGAGACGCTTGTGGTTCTCGAAGCTGAGCTAAAGAAACCCCAGTTCCCTGAGCTCAAAGGCTGTAGCACAGCCCTGCTGGGCTGGGGCGGGCAGCAGGACGAAGCGCCGCAGAGTTCCCTACACCCAGGTTCATCCCATCCTGCCCCCATTATCCCACCCCCAGCATTGCCAACTCTCACGCAAAGCACAAGCCAAACTGTATTGGACCATGTGCCCATCAAGCCTGGTATCCCATCTGTGGCAGTGGCCAATTGCTTCAGAATAAGGTGCGAGATGTTCCCTAGTGGATGTTTGTGGCATAGCCTGCCCGTGGGGAGACGTTCCCCTTAGTTTAGGGTTTATAAGCCCGTCCCAAGCTCATTTGGTAATTCAGGATGTGCTCATTTATCCATATTGACTCTTTTGCTGAATCTGCTCTAAGCTCGGTATCTTGTGGCAGAGAATCCCCCAGGACAGTTTCATTCTCTACGCAGGTATTTCCTTTGGTTGCTCTTAACAACCTCTCGATTGTCCTTGAGTGAGGTGTCACGGTCTCCGTGTTCTTTCTGTCCTAGGCGCCGGACAGTGTAGTGCAGCGCTCTTCTAAGGATTGGCCCCGGTTCGGGAGCTGAAACGGTCGCTCCCATTCCACGTCGGACGCAGGGTTACTGTTTGCAGTGCTGGTACTGTGGGGCTGTTTTGTACCAACTTATCATGTTCATTACGGAAATAAAATCTTTGTTACGATACTGACGTTATGATCGTTTCTTGTGGGATGGGGGGTAGGAATTGTCACCCTACATCAGGACCCATCAATAACCCACCCCTTCCCTGCCATCTTAAATCAGACCCGTGGGCCCATCTAGCCCAGTATTCCGGCTCCTCTCTGCTGCCCCGGATGAGATGCGTGAGCCCATCTTGCCCATGGATTTGTTTAGTGGCCTGACCTATGGATCCTGGATGTGTGCTGGGATCCCAGGGCCCTATGCACTTCCACTTCCACAGGCCTCGCCCACTGTGCCAGGTAATGAGCTGCTCTGGCCGCTAGATGGCAGCAGCTGAGCATCCATCTGCCAGCACTGAGCTGCCTTGCCAGAGATCCCTGACCCCCTCTCCCTCTCCCGCAGCTGTCACAGTTGACAGCTGGGGCTGGATCTGACAGCTGGGGGGTGCGGACTTCATAGCTTCTGATGGCCAAGCTCCATGCATACCCTCCTGGTATCCTTTGTCCCCCCTACTAACTCCTTGTGCATCCCCCTCCTCTATTTCAGGGACCCCCTGCAACTCCCCCAGTCCTTCCTCTGTGCCAGAGGCTCTGTCTGCCCCCCATTTCTCCCTCCCCTGCTGCCGGGGGCTCAGTGCGCCCCATTTTCCCTCCCCTCCACCACACACACCGGGGTCCCCATGCTCCCCTCAGCTTTGAGGTGGGATCCTGCAATCCAGCTGCTCTCAGAAGGGCTCTCCAGGTTATGCCCTGCCAGTCTCCAGCCGTGTTCCTTTGCCCCAGGGGCGGTAACAGTACACAGTGACACAGAAGCCGGTTCTCCAGAGCAAAGCACGGTTTATTTTGCCCCAAGGTACACACCGCTCAGAGAAGCGGATTTAAAATAACCAAGACCCACACACTCGGCATTTCTCTCCGTTCTTCTGTCCCTATGGGTGCTCCTCTCCCGGTTACTTTAGATGCGCATGCATCCCCATACGCCTTGGATTTTTGGTGTCAGTGTTTGTTTGACTTGCGCATGCGCCCCACACCTCCTTGCGCCCTGTACCGAGGACATATAGGGCTGTGTGGGCGAACGTCCTTCAGTTCTGCCTTTGTCCTGAGACGGAGCGTCGAGTGTGCCTGCTTTACTTAGTACAGTTCACTAGTTTGGTTTAGTTGCTAGTTGGGGTGGTTGTTTTCCTTTGGTTCCTTTATTTTCTCCAATTGAGGGGTTTCTCTGGACTTTTTTTGTTCTGCGCTATGCCAAGCTTTAAGCGGCGTCTTTCCTCCTGGGAAACTATCCCCATCAATGATGGCCATTTCCAGTGCCTCTGCTGTTTGGGAGACACTCATATCCCGGGTGAGCGTAAGATCTGCTCTTCCTTCAAAAGCAGATCTAGGAAAAACAGAGAGATCAATTCAAGAGAAAGACCTAAGACCAGCCTCTGACCCAGGCTCTGAGAATGCCCCCATATATCGGCCTCCGAGCACACTTAGTGCCTAATCCCGGTCACCAAGAGCTTCAAGGGATACAATCGCTGCTACAGCTGGGTCTCAGACACTGAAAACCCCGGAGGAGGCAGAGCTGCATCAGTGACTGCAGTACAGAGAGCTTCACGTTCAAAGTCTCTGGGTATTGACAAGAAAAGTAGAAGTGCTAGAGCTCCTTCTAAGAAGTCTTGGTCACCAAGTGAGAAAAATGTTCCAGAGATCGCAGGTCCGAGCTGGAGTTCTAAACAGGCTCCGAGTGGGTCCAGCATCGTGATGATATCTAAGACTTCCTCTAAGAGCCTTACTATTACAAAACAGGATTGGGTACCAAAGACATCTTCAGCTTCGGGTGGTCATATCCATACTAGTAGGTCTACATCAAAAAAGTGTATGCCTTCATACACTTCTGCATCCCCGTACCTATACCATCATCCTGTACCTCTAGATCAGTGCCACCAGAGTCTGACTCTGAACTCATAGCAAGTGTTTGGGGTCCATAGCACCGATGCTCTCAAGATCGGTATCTGCCTTGGTACTGAAGCTGGCCTCCTCATGTAACTACCTACGTACCGTTGGTACTGCAGGAGTTTAGATACTCAAAGGACCTCCTTGGGTCAAATAAGCCAGAGTCCTCATTACTTACCGGTACCAGACAGCTGTCCATATCAAGATCTTCTGGGTCACTGACTCCACATTTTTTCATCGAAACCTCCTTATACAGGACTTCGACCACCCAGGGTGAACAATTATGACCTCTCCTGAAATATGTTGATGATGACTCTTCCAGCTACCAGATTTTGTAACAGGGTTCTCCTGTTTATTTTGCAAGATGCAATTCTTCTACCAATTCTGGCGTGATCAATGGTGGATGCCTCTTCTTATGCCCTATAGGGACCCCCAGTGGCCTTATTGAGACCCTGAGCCCTATATCATCAACAATCGTAAGTGCCCTGAGTCACTCTTGTAAGGAGCTTAGACAGAGCTTTCTCCTCAGCCTTCACTCCAACCTTGTCAACCTGAATCATTAGAGGATACTTTTGAGGAGCAGAAGGCAAGGGTTGATAAGAATGTGGCAGGCTACATAAATATTTCATCATTTTCAGATGAGGCTATACTGACTCCACCACCTTCCATGGCAGATGACTTCAGACAATTCCAGGAGCTGATGAAGCATGTCGCTGGTACACTTCAAAGAAGGGGTCCAGAATTCTCATCATAAACTCCTGGACATTTTACATACTTCAGCTTCTGCATGTGTGGCCCTTCTTGTGAACTAGTCTTTGCTAGAACCTGCTAGCACCATCTGGCAGACTCCAGCTATGGCCCCTCCTACTTGTAAATGTGCCGACAACAAATACGTTCCAGCAAAGGACTCATGAGTTTTTATTTTTACACCCAACACCAAATTCCCTGGTTATTGAAGCAGTTAATGAAAACGGTAGAGTACATCTAGGATCATGCACCATCCAGGGCAAATGGTCTCCCCAAAAATGTCTTCTGCACATCCACATTCTGAAGTTGAGAGCAGTCAGGAATGCTTGCACCCACTTCCTGTCACTGATCAGAACCAAATCTGTCAAGATCACGACAGAAAACACGGCCTGCATGTTCTACATCGGTCATCAGGCAGGGCATGCTTCCCTTCACTCTGTGCTGAACCAATAAAACTCTGGTATTGGTGCGTAGCTAACCAGATAGTTATCTCAGCTTATTACCTCCTGAGTATGCAGAACTCCACGGTTGACAACCTGAGCAGGCACATCTCCCAGAATTAAGAATGGGAGTTGGATTCACGAGTCCTCAACAGCACGTTTCTCACCTGGGGGTTTCTAGCAGTGAGCCTCTTTGCCACTGCCCACAAAGTGCAAAAAATTTTGCCCGATCCTCAATCCATAGGAGAGACCTTCCTTATTTCATGGGCAAGGGGGTTTCTTGCTCTTGAAAGTTCTCAACAAGATCAAGTAGGACAAAGACAAGGTCATTTTGATGGCATTGACTTGGCTAAGACAGGATGTGGTATTCTTACCTGATTTGTCTTGCTTGACCTCTGTCATGGATGCACTGATCGTGCCCACTCTTGGCCCCATGCGGTCCGTGGGGGGTGCCCCTTTCAATGCGACAGCCCTTCTCGGGGGTCCACTCTCTCTCGGGGTCAGGCCCCTCCACCTCCTGGAGCCGCACCTCTCTGAGCCTTAGCAGGTCTGTCTCTGCCGTGGGCCCCCTCAGGGAGTCCACTCGCTCTGGACCCCCGGGGCCTCCACCCCCAAAGGGGTTGATGCGACCCTGTTCTCTAGACCGGAGTGACTCTCAGCCAGCATAAAACAGGAGGATTTATTGAGAGTTGAACACAGCACAGGAAACTCTCAGGGCCTCAGGCCTAGCCTCCCTCAGCCCAGCACATCCCAGTCTCTCTGCATCCAGGTGGGCTCTGCCTGCTCCCCCTCTCCAGCCCAGAGCCCCCCTGCTTCCCAGCTGGGCATCTGAGATCCCCGGCCCCAAGCCCCGCCTCTGTCCATTGTCTTCTCTCCAGGTAAACAGGGTTGTAAACTGGGGCCTCCTCTTCTCGCTTCTGTCCTCTGGCTGGAACCGACTGGTTAGGTCACTGGATCCTCACTCTGCAGCCCATTGTTCTCCCACTGGCCAGAACCGGCAGCAACTCCTGAGCTGGGTTTCCGGGTCGGGGTCTCAGGTCACCGGTCGCTGGGGTATCCATCCTCGAGGCCATGAGCTGGGGTCCCACGTTCCCTCTCCGGTCCTCGGTAACAACAAACTCTCTCTCCCCTCACCTCGTTAAACCAGTAACACCCAGGGAAACTGAGTCCCACTCCTTCTGCATGCAAACCATTGAAACCCCACCGAAAAAAAGAAAACAAACAAGAAAATCCCCCACTTCGTCACAACATCTAACCCGGATGCTTCCAATCAGTTGTTACTTGTTGTCTCAGGACAACACTTCATCCCAAATTAGAAGTTCTGTAACTCCAGGCATGGCTTCTGGATGGTTCTCAGGGGTGGAGATTTGCTGTTCAAAAGAGGTACAACTGTTATTGGTAAACAGCAGAAGTACGCCGATGAGAAATACTTCCCTTCAGAAATGGAAAAGATTTCACCACTGGTGTAGCCACTGGCATCTCTCTCCAGTTCACTCTCCTCTTTCCACCATCCTGGACTACCTGTTGGGATTAAAAAGATGAGGTTTCCCTCTGGGTTCTGTTAAGGTTCACTATTACAGCCTTTCATTTGTCTATGGAAGGTTTTTCAATTTTTGCTCATCCTGCAAAGTAAAGCTTCCTCATAGAATTGATGAATCTTTTCCCACAGATTAGAGAATCTACTCCAGTATGGGACTTGACTCTTGTCCTTAATTGCCTTGTGAAACATCCATTTGAGCAATTAGCTATGTTTTCATTGCTTCACCTGTTTCATGAAAACAGCTTTCTTGGTGACCATCACTTCTGCCTAAAGGATTGGAGAACTGGGGGTTTTAATGGCAGACTATCTCTTTACCTTGGTTTTCAAGGAAAAGGCATTGCTACCACTACATGCCGAGAT